GGCGATTGTGACTGCTGCGCTGATTGTAGTCCTGTCGTCGTACCGAGGGTTGCTGATACATCGGGATTCGTTGAAGTTGCCAAATTATTCGTTTCTCTTGGTGGAGTTGCTGGTCCTGGTCCTGCTGGAGGAGGAGTTGCTCCTGTTCCTTTCTCTGCCGGCGAATTTACATTTTCTGTATTTTCGACTTCTCCCGGTTTCCCAACACTTCCCTTCGGCTCTTGGCCCTCACTTCCAGGAGTATGAACGACACTCGTTTGATCATCCTCCTCTCTCACAACACCTTCTACTGTGACAGAATTGTCACCTTCACCACTTTGGTCAGCATCAGTACCAACAACCGTGCCGTCACCGCACCACAGCACGCAGAGGGCACACACCAGCAGCACACGGCCAGTCATCATCATCGCCATCACTCCTGTCACTTGCCTGCAGCCTTCAGCACAAACTAACTCCCCGTCAACGCAGAGCGGAAGCAAAAGGAGAGACACGGCCGCTACACCACGCACAGCCACCGCACAGTCACAAATGGCAGCAGCCCAGCAGCGGCAGCGCACACACACCATGAGGCAGTTGAAAGCAGTGAAAGGGCAAAAACACACAACGCCCCGCAGCAAGCAAACAGAAAAACACACAAAACAATTAGAAACAAAACACAGGTAAACGAACAGCAATGAAGTTAAAAATGTGAACACACAAAACAAAGGGCTGCACAGTATGGCTTCAGCGCGCACGCATCCATCCTCAAATGCGACTCCACGCAATCAGTTGTGTGCGTGCCATGCACATGAGTGTGTCTGGGGTGCGTTCAACGTGACGGATGCGGGGAGCGGCAAGGAGCACACAGCAGGGCAGCGGAAGCAAGTGAGGCAAAACACAATCATTATTTTATCCTGTTTAGCACATCGGACCACAGTAGACGCACACAAGTCCCCGCGGTTGAGTGCTGGCACGCACGGCCCGCACACAATTCCTCAGCCCAGAGTGGTGTACGCCAGCGCAGCCAGAAAGAGCAGCAGCGGGGCATGCAGACGGGTGCCATGGAAGCAGGCGTCACTTCCCACACTGCTCTCCAGAGCTTTCGTTGGGGGCGCGGAGGAAAGAGGAGCTGGCATGCCTGCCGCCGTAGAATTTCCCTCGCTGGTGGCCGTGTCGGTTGTGGTGGTATTGTCGTCGTGCGTCACCGCGGCAGCAGGCGGCAGGGTGCCGTTGGGAGTCCCCTCCGCTGCGGAGTTTTCACCCGGACCGCTGGCAGCAGCCTGGCCGCCTGGGGATGGGGATGTTGGCTCAGCGTCACCCCCTGCTGGTATGCTCCGCGTGGCATCTGATGCGGCTGCCGTTCCTGGCCCTGGCGAACCGTTGCCTGTCGCTGTTGGTTTTTCACCCGCCGGCGATTGTGACTGCTGCGCTGATTGTAGTCCTGTCGTCGTACCGAGGGTTGCTGATACATCGGGATTCGTTGAAGTTGCCAAATTATTCGTTTCTCTTGGTGGAGTTGCTGGTCCTGGTCCTGCTGGAGGAGGAGTTGCTCCTGTTCCTTTCTCTGCCGGCGAATTTACATTTTCTGTATTTTCGACTTCTCCCGGTTTCCCAACACTTCCCTTCGGCTCTTGGCCCTCACTTCCAGGAGTATGAACGACACTCGTTTGATCATCCTCCTCTCTCACAACACCTTCTACTGTGACAGAATTGTCACCTTCACCACTTTGGTCAGCATCAGTACCAACAACCGTGCCGTCACCGCACCACAGCACGCAGAGGGCACACACCAGCAGCACACGGGCCAGTCATCATCATCGCCATCACTCCT